CCTGTCACCTGAACCTCCCCTTTCCTGCAGGGTGCCCATCCTCCTGCTGCTGTGTCCTTTGCTACAGGTGGTCCTTAGGGTGACCTGCCTTGGAGGGCTGCCATTAGGCCATCCCAGAGGCCTTGTCTGTCCCCACAGAATTTACCCCTCTCTGGGGGCAACCCATAACCAATAACTGATACTGGGGGTTCAAACATTTGAAATAAGACAATTTACATTGCAGAGCTCCCTAAGGGTCAGATTCACTGATATCACACGCCTGCTTGGCTTGCTCCCTTTTGCCCTCCTCTCCCCTCACTTCCTTACTGTTTTTTTTCTGGAAGTATTTCCTGAATACATCATTTGCAGCGAATCTTTGACTCCAGGGTTTGTTTCTGGAAGAATCTGAACTAAGACATTCTCATCATCCTCACGCTGATTCCTTGGCTGTGCTCCAGCTGAATCAGAATCTCCAGTGACTCCTGAACCCTCCATCTTAAATCTTTCTGGGAGAACATGGACCAAAATCTGCACATTCCTAGAGCTGGGCAATCTTCCCCTGGGAACTGAAGGCTACACTTCATCTCTCACCTGGATTCAACATTCTGAATGGATGCCACACCTGGTAGGGGGCACCTTCCCTTGATAGAGAAAGGAGGTCACAGGAATTGTCAATGAAGGAAGCAGGGTCCCTGGTGCCCCCTCTGTGGATTCTGGTCTGAGAAGCATGAGTTACCATCTAAAATACTAGCAGGGTTCACCAGGTAAACCATTCGCTTAGGAATCAGAGGGAGGAAGATGGTCCTGAAGCAGGGTTTTCCAGAGCGTCTGGGGGAGTCATTAGATTCTACTTTGAATGGTGTCGAAGGCAGCAGTCTCTGGGTGTGGGGGCTCTTGGGATCCGGGACCAAGGTGGGTGTTCTTGTCTCTGATGGCAGGAGACAATGATGCTAAAAATACAAACTCTTTTTGACCCCTCAGCTGCCATTTTAAAGTGACTGAGATGGGGTTGGGGACACAGTGTAGCTTTCAGAGCCCCGAAAGAACAGACCCTCAGGGTAAGTCATGCCGAGAGAATGGTCGTAAATGTCCATCTTCTCTTTGGGAGAAATAGAGGTGACAAAGGAGGGGAAAGATGTCTGAGTAAATACTATGGGTTGTGAGCTGAACCTTTTAAGTTATTCTTCTCCCATGCTCTCAGAATATTCCTATTCAGAAATACCCCTTGTTTTTACAAATGACCCTGAATAGTTTATTGCAGCCACTTCTCTGGAGCTGGAGGTATGACTTTGGGGCCATTATTCTTATTTAGGTACAATTTTATCACTACCAGAAAGCTGAAAGGAGCATGCTCATATATAATATATATTTTCAAGAGAATGATGAGAACCAAGTTAACATAGGAAACAAAAATCATCCCGAGTTTCTTGTTCCTTTCCCCTGCCGCTTCTTAATGCGTATCCTTCAGGGARAGGAAGCTGTGTCTTCCCTCCCCCTATTCAGTCACACTTCCCTGGTCTTGGAGAGGGGCTGGATCTACTGGCAGACAGATTGATCTGAGAAAAATGGCTTCTGTCTTTCCGGCTGTGGTTGCAGATTTGCCTCTGAATGGACAAGCTGCAGATGCAGTGGCCTTGTTGGAACTGCTGAACAGGCGCTGACATGAGCATCCCATCCGTAATATGAACCATATGTTGGCGACACAGTTAAACCACCACCACCCGTGTTCTCTTTTATTTTTATTTTTTGTAGTTTCCTGTGAGGCCACTTGAGATAGAGCTAAGCCCTATAGGCCACCAAGTAAAAGAAAAAACACTGCTCGGGTGGCCCTCCACACATTGTGTTGGTTTATGGGAATAGACCGAAGGTAGGAAAGAAAGGACCCTGGGCTGTGGAGGGGAAGTCCACCCTTCTGCTTTGCTGCAGTTTGACGTGCGTGAGTCACTTGACCTCTCAGGCTTAGCATCCTCATCTCTTTTGGGTTTGGTTGAATTGACAAGTGGAGCTTCAGTCATCAGGTTGGTGACAGGGGCATGTCATGAGGTGACAGGCTGATCCCTGCAGAGACGCTACACCTTCCACCTGGGCCTTGAGAGTATTCGAGTGTTTAGAACCCAGCGAGGACCTACCTTGACTGTCCACAACTGCAGGATCTCATGTCAGTCGTAGGTAACACAGGAGCTCAGCCTTGAGCTCTTCTTGGTCCATCCCAGCACTGGCGAGCCAGGGGTAATAGAAAGTGTTTCTAGAAGGGGGTTCCAACTTCTGGGAATCTCCAAAGGTTTGGGAGTCTCAGTGAGGAAGACAAAGACGATTTAAGAATTCAAGGTAGGATGTGAGGCCTGGATGAGAAATCAAGGCAACCTGATGATCCGCCAAAGTGGTGGATGGAAATAGACTTGAGTGTGGGGAGAAAGCAGAGGCCCACATCTCTTTTCAGCGGTTGATGTTGGGGATGAGGTTCTTGGTTCCTTCTGACCCGGTCAGGAGGATATGAGGGTTTGATGAGTTGCATGCCCCCAAATTAGTGCAGAGTAATTTTAGAGTCTGTTGCTAGCCCCAGCAGAGAACCCAAGAGACTGGCTGCTTCATGAAGTTGCTGTATTGCTTCTTATTGACTCTTGCCCTTTTCCTTGAAGGTCAGAGCCCCATGTGTATGGACCCTCAATTAGTCAAGCTACTATTATCACTCTAGCAGATTCCAAGTTTTATTTGAGACTATTGTTACATAAAAGCAGTGCAGATCTGTGAATCCTGTGATAAGCACCCTTCTGGTCCCATCTGGTGATGGCTAGGTTTGGGTCTTTGGTCCTTGTGCTGCTTTCCAGTGTCTGCTTTGAGCTTAGCTGTGCAGTTAAGCATGATGATTTTGTGTGAGGAGAACCCCAGAGCTAAGGTGGAAGTAATTTAATTTAAGCTCTTGGGGGCTTCAGCTGGCTTCATGAGCGTAAAAGATGTCAGACACATACCCGGTCAGATGTCATTCACACTTAGAAGCCCACATACTCAACACAATCGCATTTGTAGGGACATTACTCTCACTTAGACACCCACGTGCTGCAGATCCCCATTTGGACATATTCACACTCAGGTGCCACATGCACTCCCCTGGATACTGGCCACATTCACTCCCACACTCCAGGCCAGATACATGTAGGGCAATGCGCATGCTCACTGAACTGTTCACCTCCACCTGTATTCTGCACTCATCCAAGTGTGTCATACTCTTACATGCCTATCCCTTTCCCATTTGCATGGCTGACCTTTCTCAGGCTCAAGGACATTCAGGGAATACTGGCCAGATGGAGGATGTTACATGTTCTTGGGAGGAGCCTCTCTGTAGTCTTTTTTTTTTTTCCTCTCCCCTTAATGAAACAGTCCTGTGCTTCTGTATTAACCAAAATTGTGCCTCTTAACCAAATGTCTTTGGATGGATAATCTGATCAAAGAATAGGAGCCCGCACCACATTCTTTAAATAAACCATATGCTAGTTCACTAAGCCATCTTTAAATGAGTGGTTTGGGGCCACTTCTGCAACCACCTCATTAATTCCCGTTGTCTCCTTTGGGGTGCACTTTGGGAAATTGATCCTCTGTCTTCAGTCATTATTCCCAGAGACCTGTGCAATAAAGGTCTTCTCAAAGATGAGCATTTATTTGAGAGAAGCACACACTTGGCATTCAAAGAAATGAGAAGATGTTGTCCAATTCACAAACTTGAGAATAACTTTTTACAAAGAGAATCTGTACATTTGGCATAGAGCTGATATTTAATAAGGGCTCAGCCATCTCTATGCACATGCTAGCACTTCTTATATCCTTCTAAGTTGAAGGGAATGATATGAGATCACTAGACAGGAGCTCCAGGGAGTCACTGTTTACCTTGATTGAAGTTTCTGTGTCCAGTCAGGTTTGGTTTCATGCTTGCTTTCAGTTTTAATTCAATCCAATTTGATTCATTTCAACAAGCATTCATTGATCACTTGCTTGGTGTCAGGCATCCTGTTGAGCGGTGTGTCTGTGGGAAGAGTGACTCAGAGATAATGCAGCTGCACTCCCTCTTTCTTTAAGGACACAGTCTAGCCAGCAAGACAGTCGTTCCACCTCATGTTGTTGCAGAACCGACCAGAGAGTGATTAATTGAGTTGAAGCAGAGGGAATAACCGGTCCAGAGTGGGCAGATCTGGACGGGCTTCATAGAGGAGGAGGAGGAGGAGGAAAAGCTTAGCTTGAGGGAAAGTGGAGATGGAGAGGACTGTAAAAGAAGTACAAGCTGGTGATGGTGTGGGCTGAGGTCCAAAAGATGTTTGTGAAATAGCGAGGATCTGGAGCTGCTGGAATGAGTGGGGAGGGTCTCTTGAGAAGATGTTCTCAAAGGAAGATGGGAAGCCAGGTACACAGGGCTTCAAATGCCAAGATGAGGAGTTTAGAATATACAAGATAGACACCAAGTACTTGAAGAGGGACAGTGCTATATGATTAGGAAGATCAATGGGTGGACTGATTAATTGACCAAATCAATTAGAGGCAAAGAGACCAGTTGAGTCGAGGCAAAAGGTAGGGAAGTGCCTAACCTAGGCATTAGCAGTCCAAGGGTAAAAGATGGGCAGCGGGGGGGGGGGAACGCTGCCAAGGTCACGACCATCGGGCTTGTTGAGTAGAGGAGGAGAGTGAGAACTAAGATGGTAGGAACTAAGGATGATCCCTAAATTCAGATTCTGGCTACCTGAGAGATGGTGCGACCCCTTAGTCAAGAAAGAAATGAAGGAGGAGATACACCAGGTTTGTAGGTGTTGGGGCTGAGTGGCATTTTGGACATTGTCAATCAGAGCTGAGTTGGGACCTCTGAATGGAAACAGATCTCTACAGAGCTCTAGGTTTGAAGACCTACAGCTGGGGAAGGGGGGATAGCTGAAGTGACAGCAGTGTTTCCCTATGGAAGAAGTTGTGCCAATTCCTTGAGAACAAAGGAGCTTATCCCTCCAGAGGTTGCTCATCTGTCTCTCCTCTTTCCCATCCAGCGTTTATCAGCTGGTGGTCAAGGAGGAGCGACTTCAGAAGTCCCGGAGGGCGGCTGACATCATCGAGTGCTTCTCGGTCCCTGTGAGCTACAGGAATGCCTCCAGCCTGGATTCTCTGCACTACTTTGCTGCTGAACTGAAGCCTGCCAACCTGCCTGTCACTCAGCCGTTTACAGTGGGTGACAACAAGACATACAATGGCTACTGGAACCCTCCTCTCTCCCCACTGAAAAGCTACAGCATCTACTTCCAGGCACTCAGCAAAGCAAATGGAGTAAGTCTGGCCACAAAGAGGCCATTTCTTGCCTTGTTTGGGTTTCCCATTCTCCCATGAGAGGTTCAGCAAAGCTGAGTAGAGGTTGACAAACTGGGGGTCAAATCCAGACCTATGCTTTGGGGGATTTTCGATAAAGTTGTTTTTAAATACAGCTGAGCCTGTTCCTTTGCATTTTCTCAATGGCTATGCCGATGTTTGATAGTAAGGTTGAGCAAGTGCAACAGAGACTGTGCACCCCAGAAAGCCTAAAACATTTATTCTGCTGCTCTTTATGGAAATCATTTGCAGCCTCCTCTATTAGAGTATGGAGAAGGTGCTGCACTTGAGCAAATCACATGGTCTTCCTGAGCCTGAACTTCCTTATCTATAGTAGTAATAACTAGCAAGCTACCTTGGTATGGATGCACTTGCATGTTTTAGTTCACCTGTGAATACTATTCCCTTGACATTACCATTAGTCTCATTTGAAAATAGTTTTTCTCCCAGTAACAAGGTAACTGTTTTGATGTCAAATATTTCTTTGATCAAGTAGTGGTCTAGTCATAAAAATAACTACAGGATTAGAAAGGATCCTAAAAATTATTGAGCGCACGCACACACACACACACACACACACACTCGATAGAGCTTCAGTCACTATTACAGCGTGACAGTTAACTGGTATTAGTGCTTATTTTTGAGTACCTGAAAGTATAGATACTTTACTTTGTTGATCTTTGGGGTGGTGTTAAGGACTATGGCTCCAAGAAAGCTTTGTCATATACATCCTTAAATATCTCTTTGATTATGGCACCCACATATTGCTCTTGGTCTACACTCTTAGGGGTCTATAGAAATAATGTGGTCCCCTTCTTAATTGCTGTTTCTTTCACTGCAGATCCTTTCTACCATCTGCCTTCTCTAAAAGCACACCTATCTGTTTTTTTTTTTTTTTTCTGCAAGCACAATATATTTGGTCCTTCTTGTACCATGAGCTGGTATTTGTCATCTGGGATCCTTTTATGAACACATGATAGATTTCCAGAATTCATTCAATAAACAAGCCCTGTGGTTCACACTGTGGTTATTATGTGCCTTCCAGGAGCTTATAGAAATGGAAGGAAGCCTGGCATGTGCCATGTTATGTAGTATAGGTGGAGAAGGCAGACATTCACCAAGAAAGAAAGATCAAGACCAAAGGGAGATTAGGTGAAGTGTATGGTGAACGATCTGTCCGTGCTCCGGGTGGCCAAGGTAGAGTTGAGTCTGTCAGTGGCAGTCATCGCCTGGGACAAAACCTGGACTGAGGAGCTAATTAACATTTAGAATGTCTACATGCTCATTTAAATTCCACTTTGGTATTTCAGTTTTGCATTTATTACTGGTCCAAGCAACACTCCTCACAGAGAATATAAAACTACAAAGAGAAGCTGCCAGACTGCCTTCCACCTGTCCATCTGGTCCTCCCTCTGCATGAAGCACTCTGATGTATTGAGTAGGCAGACACAAAGATGGGAAGGAGCATCTGGGGGCCCATCTTCTTCTTAGAGCTCTGTGCCCTCATTTCAGCACAGCTCTCTGCACAGCCCTCGGCACAAATCAAGAGATAGGGTTAGGTTTTCCAAGCTGGGAAGAGCCCCATGGATCCTCTTCCACATTCCCACCAAGATAATCATGAAACCAAGCAATAGATCAAGTCTGCAGAACCCAACACAATTGTCTCCTAGAAGGAATTTCCCCAACCCAAGCATGGTTGGCCCTGAGCAGAACAGGGGTGACACAGGACATTGATTGGAGGCTTTGTTTCCCAGTCATCATAGCGTAGACCCCCTTTTTAAGACACAGGATTTTTCAATGAGAAAAAAAAAAAAAGAAGAAGTGATCCACTCTGAAATTGCCTTGTCTTAGAAGTTGTTTCTATTCCTGCTTCCAAGAGGAGCCAGGCCATTTAATGACTGACATCTCCTATCCCAGGTCATGCATACTCTCATTTTGGAACTAGGATTCCCAGTAATGACAAGCAGGCCAGAAGGGAATTGAATGAATGCTTATGCAGAGTGTCTGGGGTCTGCAGTTGGCCTCATGGGAACAGAAAGAGGAAGAACAGTCGGATCTGGGCACTCAGTGTTGTATTTTCTGGCAAGGAGAAATCACACATTGCTTCAAATCACTGTCTTTTATTATTATGTTTTACTGAAAAGAGTTGGGTGAAAAGGTCAAAGGAAGGTAGAGAGCAGCCATGCTTACCGTAGCAAATCTCTGGCTGGCTCCTCAGATTTCTCTCTCATAGAAGGCAGCAGACATTGGAGGATTTTTTTTAGAGACAATGTTGTAACCCACAAATTCCTGATCGGCCAAGATGTTGTTCTTGTGCAAATACATCAGAAAGACATTCTTGGTAACCAGAGGCTCCCACATGCCCTACTCCTAATAAATCATTTAAAGAGCAATTGACCAAGCAATGAATCAAAATAAAGAAATCAAGAATAGACAAATATGGAGCTAAAAGATCCACAGTGAACATGAAACTAATTAGACATTACATTAACGCTAAATAATTGCTCTAAATATGTTCCAAAACAGAAGGTTAATGTAAAAAATAATTACTTAAAGACATAATGGAAAAATGAACAATTGTGATTTGGGTTCATAATTCACTACTATGTCAACCAAAACTGAGAAAGGGTTGGAGGACTGAAGTGTGAATCAAAAATCTGCTAATTTTCTTCTGTTGGACAAAAGGGAACAAATAACTATTATTTTATTTTTGACAAAGAAGATGTTTAAAAGTAATTTTAACCTCATTATTATTATATACTAGTAATACACAATATTGGAGTTCATTTTGACATAATCATGCATGCATGGATTATGAATTGTAATTTTTAACACAAGGTTGGACTTTCAATTAATAATAGAAAAGCCAAAAAACAATCTACAAAGAAAAACAGGGACAACAAAGGACACTATCAGTGAACATGAAAATCAGAAACTCTAAGACAAAAGACAAAAACTCTAGATTAGACAGGGGAAAGAGTGGTGTTCTTTTCCCCTTCTTAAAAAAAAAATAGTTCAAGTAAAACTCAGAATTTTGCAAACTTATATAACTAATAGATTAAAAAGCAAGACGGGGGCAGTTCTATACCACTGAAACAACTGAAAGGAAAACAAAAAAGAACATTTTTTTGCAGAGAATTGTGGGACAGATGGAATAATTTCACCCCTCTATATCCTACCTACAACATTTATGCAGGACATAGTAAGGGAATTTTAGGATCCAGATGTTCCCACCAAGATATGCATGAAATCAAGCAGCCAACCAAGTCTACAGAACTCAAGACAAAGTAGTTCTAGAGTAAATTTCCCCACCCAAGCACAGAGAGGAGTGACCTCAGCAGAACAAGAGTGACATGGGACATCAATTAGAGGTTTTACTCCCCAGACATCAGACAACAGTCTCCCCCTCTTTATTCTGTGGATATTAAAGATAATTTGTCAGCTTAGCACAGTGGCTGTAAATTCAGCCTTTACAATCAGACTGCCTAGGTACAAAAAAACCGGTAGCTTTGTGGCTTTAATTAATCTATTAAAAGAGTTAGATATGATCGATTAATTAAAGGCACATATATCAAGCACCCGATGCACATCAGAAAGGCATTTGACTAAGCTCAGGAAATACATCATAAGGCAAAGAGAAAAAGCTCTCTGCACACATAGTGTTTGCAGTCTAGCGGGGAACAGACCCCAAATAAATAAATAAATCAGTGAAATAATGTCAAATCGTTTATCATTAGGTTTCAGAGTGTGGAAGTCACTCATTAAAGGCTAGCTATCCTTGCATGAGGACAAAGACATTTTGTAAACTCTATAGTGATCTGTGAATATTAAGTATTTTTATTCAGCCCTAGGAATGCTGTAGAGAATTTAAATCTGACATGCATGATATGATACAGTTCTCAGAGTCCTTTCAGGTATTTCATGAAGTAAGTTTTTCACAGGCCATTGTGTTGAAAATGTTTTCATATTAGCAATCTTGTAGTTGTGCACTGATGCATTTTACTGAGGACAAGGTAGCCCGTTGATGGGAGTACTGTGCTTGCTACTGAATTCTCGGCACCTGTGTTTCTTATGAATCAGACAATATTAGAACAGGTTGTTTTGGATATAGCTCTATTATACACCTATAGCACCTTAGAGTTGGATGGACTTTGAAGTGCCATCTAATCTAGACAAGAATGGAGGTGGGGGTGGGGGGCGGGGAAGAAATCTTACAGAAATCTTTCTTGGCTAGGCTTCAGCTTGATTGCTGCAATTCTCCAGAGTGAAAGGGAGTTGATTCCTTTGTGGAGCAGGTAAAATTATTAGGTGTTTTTTTCCCCCTTATATAAAACCAAATTTTGTCTCTTTAACTCTCCCCTCTTGGCCACTTGTATTGATTTGAACAAATCAAATCTTTCTTTGCTGCCTCAACCTTTCTGAGACGATAGGACAGTAACAGCCACCCACCTTTGGCCACCAAGCCATTTCACTGATATTTAACATGCAATGCTTTCCTTTATTTCTCACATGGCATGGTGATCTCTAGATCTTTCATCCTGTTTACACTCTTCTCCGATAGACTGACTTGTTTTATTTCAATGTTCTCCTTACAAAGGGTTCCCAAACCTACACTGTGTTTCAGGTACAGAGGGCTGTGCTGTCGACATCACAGCTATCCCTCCTGTCTTGAACGTTTCCTGAGACATTGATTGTCAAGCATTTCAAGATGTGTTTCCCACTTTGGGGCCTTAACTAAGCAAGCTGTCATTTTACCTGAATCGCTCTTTTCTTCATTGTTTGCAAAACTAGTACCTTCTTCATTTTTAGCCCTCAGTTTCAATGTCACCTCCTTTGAGAAACTCCCCGATCTTATTTCCTAAGATCCAGCTCTGGTACTCAGCCCCTTCTTTTTCTTTATAATACTGGACATATTTTAATGGCACATATTTATGTGTACTGTAGGCATCTGTCACCGCACT